CCCCAGTTGGCCTTCTTGCTTCCAGATGCTTCTGTCTTGGTTCCAGAATCTCAGGGTTGGGCATAACCCCCCATGATGTCAGCTGGTGAGAGCAACTTCTTTCAGAAGGATCAGCCGAACAGGGGCCCGGCCAGGCTCAAGGGGGAGAAGCTTGTATGGGTGTGCTCGGGGGGAGTGTGTGCAGAGATTCTGCCCCCCAGCTTTCAGACCCCCACTGCACCTCAGCCTTGTTTGCTTCCCACTGCATCTCCCAGGGCTGGGTCTCACCGATCAGAGTGAGATTCCTGGGGGAGCCGTTAGTTACACAACAGAAACCGTCTGGAAAACAGCAGCTCCACCAGGCGAGTTCGCTCCTACCTGCCGGGGGAAGGGCGAGGGGTCTCTCGCTCTCCTGAGTTAACACAAGGCCGTGGCGTTCAGGCAGACTAGCTGAACCACGTTAGCTGAATAGGCCACAGGGGCCTGAGTCACAGGTAAGGCTAGGTCAGAACGTGTGGCTTTGTCAAGCTTGCAAGAAGCAAAGGGCGTTACGGGTCGGTGCAACGTCTGAAGCTTCTCTGAAGCTGGAGGAGGTCTTGAGGGTCATCTGGGGCGTTTGCCATGGAGCAGAAGTCCAGGAGCAGCACCCCCCAAAATTCACACCCATCTGGCTCCAACAAGGGACAGCCAGGTGCCCCCCTTAGCTCCGTGAGGGGCTCTGGGAAGGAGGCCAGCTCAAGCTGGGGGGGCTTTTCGGGTTGGTTGCCACGGCTGAATCACCACTATTTCCCCATTTTTCTGCCAGTGTTTCTGGAGGTGGGGTTTCCATTCCCTAGTGGGGAGACTTTGAGGATGGTGTGGAAGCTCTTCCACTGACCGTGCACAGTGAACATTTAGTGTGCTTTTGGTTTTTCACACAACATCCTTGCAGAGTGGACCATCAGCTTGACACGAGCTTCTCTAGCACCCAGTCTTTCACCCATTTTTCCTGAAGAGGAAGGCCTTGCATGAAAGGCTGGGTGCTGGGAAGCTCATGTCAAGCTGGGATACAATAGCTCTGTGAGCCCTCAGAGACCCCTGCAAAGCTAGTCAATGGCTGGGTTCACAGAACATCCCCTCGGTTGGGTTGTGGCTTGGTGCACCATGGTTGTTTACTTACCGAACCAGGGTTCAGCAGATGGGAGTCTAAGGCAACGTGGCAACCGGGCTACTGTACTTAGGGCCCGAGACCAACCGGTGACTGAGTGTCAAGGGAAGCAAGAGGGCCAGGCCGGTGCTGCGTGTGAGGCCTCTTTCTTCTTGATCAACCAGGCCATCTGGGGACCTTGAAAGGTCCCCTCCGAAGAGCCGCAGCAGCAGCAGCTCCCCAAGGTCTCTGTGGGCCCCAGGAAGCTTTTCCTAACTCTGGGTAAGCTGGAGCTTTAAAAATTCTCCTGGAAAATGACATCAGGTTAGGAAAACTCTTAGGAATCCCTGGACTAGCTGGGTCTAGGTCCCAAGTAATCTCCACGGCTTCAGGAGCCTTCCTTGAGCATTAGCTTCTGGATCGGTCTGGTGGACGCAGCGAGCGACCCCAGAAGAGGCAATGGAGGCACTTTCTGGAGGAAGAGCCAAAGGCATTCCGCTCGCTCGCTTGACGGCTGGCAACTGGGCTCCCAGCAGATGGGGGGTTGTGGCCAGCGTGCACCACAGACTCCCTGGCAGGTGAGGTTGGGCAAAGAAATGCTTGATCTTCCCCAGCCAGACAGGCACCGTTGCAGCAGAGGGAGGGTGAGTTGGCCAGCCCTATGCTGACCTCCCTCACCAGCCACAGTGCCAGCAAGCCTAGAGCTCCTGTTGGCTCTCTCTCCAGAGGGGTTGCCAAGCCTCCAGATGGAGCACTACCTGTGGACGTGACAGACCCCTGCCAGGCAGCTGGCCGGCCTCTTCCGCTCCTTGCCCAGAAGCTCTGGAGGTTGCTGCTGTCGTGGACCTCCCGCCTGGGTAGTCCTTGGCCACCAGAAGAGCAGAGGCTGCTGGGAGCCCTGGGGCCCAATCTGGCATGACTCCTCAGATACCCTTGGGACTTGAAGGGGCTCCTCAGGTGCCCAAGCCGAGAGGGGCCTGCCATGCTTCGGGATGCCAAGGAACCGTGTGTGGACTTGGGCCTCAACCTCCTGGCTGCTGCTGTTCTGCAGTGGGTCAGGCCAATGATCAGGGGCTGACAGGAGGTGAGCCCACAGCTGCCTGCAGGGGACTGCGCTGAGATAGGGAGGCTTAATTGGGAGCTGGGACTTGCCTTCCCCCAGCCAAGGGAGGGCATCCTCTAGTCCACACACTTCTTCACTGACAGAAGCAGGGAGATGGTAGAGAGTAGGGACCCGCATGTTACGCTGGTTAAACTGTGGTCAGTTTCTCGGTTCAGATGGCCCAAACCCCTAGTGAGGTGCGGGTCTCCCAGTGGCTGAACGGCGCTGGGCAGGAAGGGAGGTCAGCGAAGAACCGGCGCGGCGCTTGGAGGCCGGGGCAGTCACCTCCCCTGCCTCTGCGCTGTGGGGCGGGGCGGGCCCCCTTTCCCCCCCCCTCCATTGCCGGGTGGAAGCCCCTGTGCTGCCTTTGTTCCAGATGCTCCTCCCTTCCCTTCTGCTGGTCGTTTTCGGGGGACAGGCGCGGGTGGGGGGAAGAGGCGGGGCAGGTGACTGCCAGCCCCCCAGGAGAGAGAGGCTGCAGAGCCGGGAGGGCCGCCAGAGGCGAGAGGCTCTCTGCCGCTTGGCCTTTCTCCGCGGGGCGGGAGGTCGTTAGTTTTGGCGTGAAGGGTGTTTGGGTCTGCTCTCGGGGGAGGGGTTGGGGTCTGGTGCGGCGTGTGCGGTGGTAACAATTGCATGGCCCGGTCCTTGGGGGCAGCGCGTCTCCGGGCCAGTTGCTTGCCCCCCAGCCCCTCTCCCATCTGGAGCCTGAAGGGCGCCCTTAAAGAGGCCCCGGCTTGCCTGCAGCTTCTTGAGCAGGGCCGGCCAGGTCTCCCATGCTGCGGGCGACGCCCTCTTGGGGGTTGCCCTGGCACACGCCCCCGCCCCCCCCCACCAAACTTGAAGCAGGCCCAAAGGCCGGTCCTCAGGCGCTGCTTTCCCTTGCTGGGCCAGAGTGGGCGCTCAGTGGGGAGGGGTCTTCGGGGGCAGCCCAGCTCCGAGGGGGAGGGGTCTTTGGGGGCAGCCCAGCTCCGAGGGGGAGGGGTCTTTGGG